CAAAATTGAAGGCCATAAAAATTATGGTCTGTTTGAGCAGTAATGATTTTCTAGAGAGTATTTTACTTTTGATTTTGTACATTTTCGAGTGATAGATAAATTAGGGATGATAACATGCTAAGACAAAATGTGACCCGTGGGTCACATTAGTGGAAATTCGGGATTTTTTTATATATTTCCTTGTAGAATTAAGAAGTTAAAACTTGTATACTATTAACATATGGGTTATTAGCTAAGATTTTATGCTATTTTAATTGGTATAACTTAAACAAAAAGTAGTTCAATAAAATTTTGAATGTAAGACACTAAAACCTTGTGTCATGTGCAATAAAGTGTACCCAATTCAAAATTCATCAAAATTGAATAACAGTATCATATTTTATACAAAAATATATAACAGTTTGTACAAAACGTTCTATCAATAACAGTAACACCTGAAGTACTAATAAAATTTATACTGCAGCATAAAAATGTATAAAATAAGCCATTAAAAGAATTTCAAATGACTGCATATTACTGAACAAAGTACTAAGAAATTCATCATTTACAGTCATCTAAGCATATTTCAACTTTTTTTCACTTCAATAACAAATACAGTGCTTTGACCAAAACTAAAAACTCCTCTAGTGTATAACCAAAAACCAAATAATATTTATTAAACATATTTTTTCAACTTGCTCAAAAGACAACAAGTTGACTGAACCTGATTGGTTGCCGAACATACATCATACAACATATGAATTTACTTATTGATTAAGTGTACATATATTTTTTACATTGGTTGAATGTTGATTTATATACTAAACTTTTTTTAACCATTAAAACTTGTGTACTTGAGAATGGTCACACCAGTGTTTGAAATGTCATGCCTGTTTTAAAATTATATCTTAATTACTGTAAAAGTTAGTAACTTGTAAAATGAAAAAAAAAGTGTGGTAATGTAACTAACTGAGCTGTATACACTATACTGTGTTACCACAGAAAGTCATACACGCTCAGTTGAACTCCATACAAATGTATGTGCAGCTTGTCTACAATAGAAAGTTTAGTAACCAAAACAGCATTATTAGCTAATTGGAAAAGCAAACTTTTCCTGTTGTTTTCAACCCCTTTTGGTGGATTGTACCAACGTTTCTCTTGTACAAAGTACAATCTTTTTTTAAACAAAAAAATGGATAAAAGATATTTTTCAAATTTGTAGTTAGGGAATTTACTGATGATTTCGGTCGAGGATCAGAGTCAACATTATGTGTGTAGTGTGGGCATCAATAAGTGTACATTACACACCAATTTCTATTTTAAATAAATAGTCAGACAACACGGGGTTTAACCCTCTCTCCCCCAGTAAATTAGATCCTGGAAAGTCCCGGAAGTTTTGCACCTTTATCTTGTGTGAACAATATGGAAGATATTTGCAAGGTTTTTTTAGGCATATTACACAAATTCATGAATTGTTATTAATATATCTTTGTACCTTTTATTACAAAGCTGTGTTTTTTATCTCTGTTTTGTAGCTCTCATTTTTAGTTTTTTTTTCTCATGAAGTTTAATAATTTACTTAATCAGGATCAAGATCACATAGTGTTTCAGAAACATAGTTTATTTGTTCAGTTTTGATTCTAGAATTTTTCTCTATTAAAATGTTAACAAAACTGAAAATTGTACATATAGTTGTTACTTTATCTTACTGGAGTAGTTCTAGCAAAATGGGTTATCTGATTGAATGTAAGGGTGGTCAAAACACTTGTAATTGTGTATGAAATAAGGAAAATAGACTGGTTGGCCTAACACAGTAGTCTTCAACTGTCTGTTTTAATACATAAATATACATATATACTATCAGATGGCCAGCAATCAGAATTTCAGCACCATATTGATTTTAGAACTAGTTTCTTAAAGTTGTGACCTTATGCATATACTTTTCTCATAGTTATTGTTTGAACAAAATTTAAATCCTGTCCAATGTATCACCTCGTTATATTCACAAGTAATATGTTTTCTTATACACAAAAGGTTGTCCTGTTAAATCTATTGTTTCAGATATAGGTACTTATAATCATGAACTGGCTGATTTTTTGGTTAAGTATTTGAAAACAGTACACTAAACAAATATTTAAAGAGATAGATTTGTTTCCTGTAATTAAATACAAGATTTAAGGTTTGAGAAGTGTGTGTATTGTGCAAGATTTGATCAAGAATCTATATTAATATTCCTTTTGAACATGCTTTACAATTGGCTGATGATCAAGTTTATAAAATGAAATAATACTACCAAAGTATTTGTTTCAGCAGTTGTTGAAGTTTGTTCCTAAGGTATCACAGTTTCTTTAAACAGCACCATTTATACCAAATTGGTGGTGTAATGATAGGTTGGAAATTAGCACCATCACTTGCCAACTTATTTCTGTGTTAACATGAAAAATAAAGGCTGAAGGATTGTCGTCAAATTTTAAACCTCACTACTATCACAGGTACATTGTTTGTGGTTTTTTATGATTCTGAACATGCAAGTCAGTTCTTGGAGTAACTTAATAGTAGGGGTGCATATCTCATCATAGTAATCGATATGATACATATCTAGATATTGGTGCCGCAATATGATACTTATCTAGATACAGAAGTTTGACAGTCTTGTCTGTAATTTATTATCTATATTACTAACATGTACTTCACACTTTACAGTGCTTTTTCATATTCTCAGGTTTAATCAACTAAATGGCAGTTGGCAAGAGAAGTAAAACAGAATTTTTTTTATTATCTGTTTATTTTCTTATTGTTAATTTGTCATGTTACTTTGCATGTAATGTTTTTGATAAAAGAAATGAAGACAACATGTAGTGCTCAATATTCATCTTCCTTTATTCAATCATTAATTTTTAGCAAAAATACTTCATTAGAAATTCTGATTATTTCTATACAAAAGGCTTATAATGTTTACTGAAAGCGTGCCAAGTTTCATGAAAATACATAAATCGTATTGTATCCGACAATGTATCGATACAATCATATCCCGGCTTCATGATACGATATGAGTATTGTATCACTATCGCCACACCTTTACTCAGTAGTAAACACGATAGTATAAAATTTCCTGTAAAACATCAAAAAGATCATCATCTTGCCTTTTTGGATGCATTAGTACATAATAATGAAGGCAAATATGAATGTGAAGTGTATCATAAAAATACATTTACTGGTTTATATTGGAAATTTTCCAGTTTTATCCCATCTTATTCATCATGCTTTCAAGATCACCAAAATGTTTTAAATACTTATGTTGTTCAATATCTGTATTATATTTACATGTATGAAAATACGTGTAAAAAAGACTGATCACAAAATTAGTTTCATTAAGTTGTGGCCTTAATCTACTGATTAAGAGATTGGTGTTTCTTATGTGCAGACTTTTCTTGTCATTACTTTTTTTTTGAAAGCATTTTAAGTGCTTTTTAATTTATCACAAAATAACATGCATGCTCCCTCATGTTAAAACTTTTTTCCAACCCCCATGTTTGCTAACATGTTTTAAGCCATCTGTTGGTAGATACAATATACCTAAAATTCCATGTAGAATATTTAAATTAATAAACAACATTAGCTGTTATCAGTAACAATATTTTATCTTTAAACCTGTAGAAATTTTGTAATCTACTTTCAGGTTTAAAAATAACTCATAAATCTATTTGTGGGCAAACTCTTATGCAAAAGCTTGCATAGTTGTATTTTTACTAACAATGCATGTTTGCCAGCATAGTTGTATTTTTACTAACAATGCATGTTTGCCAGCATATGGTAATATCATCAACACAAGCTTTGGAACATAATAACTCAGTTATTTAAATGCATTAACTTTCTTTAAGTAATTATGTTGGCTGTTTTTTTTAAATTCTTTATAATTCTCAAGTTCGTTATGTAAATACTGATACATGCAAAAACATTGGTAACATTTCTCTTTGATAGTCAGTAGTTTTATTTATTTTGAAATGGTAAGCTGTCATCATGCAATAACTGCTTATAACTTAGAATGTTCAAGATATTTTGAGATGATCTATAAAATCTAGCAAGTATTTATCTTTCAGTAGTACCATCAATCATTTCTCCACAAAAGACATTTATTTGATATTTCATGTAACAAATAAGCATATTTTAAGATAACAGAAAATGAAATGGACTTGTTTTCTTTTCTGCCATTCTGAAAACGTTTTTTAGTTTGTTGAACTAACAAAAATGGTTTTAAAATAGAAATAGTACAGTTCTAACCTGTCACTATATCTTCAGTAAAGTGGTTTTTCATCATAATATCAAAGAAAGAAGCTTGTTATTCTTGTTGGGAAACTCAGGTTTATAAATTCCATCTGTTTGTAACAGAAGTATATAATTATGCTTTGTTGCTTGAATAACATAGTATGCAGTTGTAGTACAAATAATAAAGATCATTAAATGGTTGAAGGGTGATGTTAAGTACTGTTGAAGATTCATGTAAGTGCATTGAAACTTCATCCCTTACTCATGTTTCTTACACATTATCCATAAAGTACTTCTCATCAATTTATACATGGTATTAACAGTAGTTACACTGTTTTCTGTTCTAATGTTATGAATGTTCCCACAAAACTGTATTATAAGTATTTTTATTTTAATGTTATGACTTACTGTACTATTGTAACAAGTTACTGTCTTTTATATTATTGAAGCATAAAAGGTTGTATTTTTTTGCATTTTTCAAAGTTATTTATTTATGAATTTTCACTTTTCAAAGGGAAAAGAAAGTTACTCTTGTGTAAACACCTGTCTATTTACAGCACTTTAAATGATTTTTCAAAATAGTTTTTAGGAAACAAGATTTGAGTGATATTTTTTTCTTAAATTTCTACTTTCAGTAGTTCAAGTTCAATGGGTATTATGTTTGGTGTTTCACGTAATTCAAGGGGTTTTCCATCTACAAGTCTGATGAATAACACAATGAGTTCGGCATTTTCTTCTAATCCTGGTAGGTGGTTTATATCTAATTTACAAATAAGAATACTGGTGATAAAGTGTAAAGTTTTCTGTTTGATGTAGGAAACAATTCTATGAAACATGACACAGATACAGCTAAGGCCCAGTATGTACTATTACCGTACATTGACTCAGACAATATGTGTTTTGGGCTCATTTCTTTGGAAGTATATGTATCAATTATGCCTTTCAAGTTTGAATATATTCAGAAGAATTATATACCTTTTGAATACAGTCAAATCTGATATTTATCTATCTATATATATATATATATATATATATATATATATATATTTGTGTGTGTCGTGTGTGTG